ACATACATACATACATACATACATACATACATACATACATACATACACACACATATGCATATACACACAGACACAAACACACACACCCACACATATACACACAGACACACACACATACACATATACATATACACAAATACATATACATACACAGATACACACAAACACTCACACACACACACACACATACACACACACACACACACACACACACACACATACATGTATACACACACAAACACACATACACACACACACACACTAGGGTTGTCACGATACTAAAATGTTCAACTCGACAATTACTTAGGAAAATATTCGATACTCGTTACCATTTTCGATACAACAAGGACCATAATCCTAAACCTAACCCTAACCCTGACCCTAACCATGACCATAACCCTAACCCTGACCCTAATCCTAAACCTATACTTAACCCTGACTCTAACCCTGACCCTAAACCTAACCCTAACCCTGACTCTAACCCTGACCCTAACCCAAAGCCTAACCCTAACTTTGACACACACACACACACTGGTTTGAAACGACGCTGATGGTGTGACATAATTAAAGTGGCTGCCATCAAACATCTGAAGCCTCTCAGGATTTAATCTGTCTGCTTCGTTTAGCTCCGGCTGAGTGACTCCGCCCCGGAAAACCCAGTTTGGACCAGCTTATTCCCAGTGGGAGGACTGGATCCTGACTGGTGACCGGCTAATAGGGTTGTCACGATACTAAAATGTTCAACTCGATACCGATACTCAGCAAAATACTCGATACCATTTTCGATACCACAAGGATAAAAACAAAGACCCCAAAATTTAACAGAATTTTGACAGGTTAGTGTCTTTCATTTCAAACTGACCTGTTACTGATGTTATGGTGGCCCACATTAATGACCCTAACCCTGACCCTAACCCTGACCCTGACCCTAACCCTGACCCTAACCCTGACCCTAACCCTCACCCCAACCCTGACCCTAACCCTGACCCTAACCCTCACCCCAACCCTGACCCTCACCCTGACCCTAACCCTCACCCCAACCCTGACCCCAACCCTGACCCTAACCCTGACCCTAAACCTGACCCTAAACCTGACCCTAACCCTGACCCTCCAGCCTTCATAATTGTGAGAAATAAATATTTTTGGGTTAAACTTGTTTGGAGTTATTGTACAAACCTATTTAACATCCACTATTTTAACATAATATTATGGATAGAGTTTAATTAAGAGTTCGAAAGATTATTTTCACTATTTTTAAATTAATGTCTATATTGCCATGAGGCATTACCAATCTCCCTATTGGTTACTTGGATGTGGGCGGAGTCGGATATGTACTTGATTAATGGTAGCACGTTATCATTAGCCACAGCCAGCAGTTCAAGGCTAACGTCTTGTTAATGAGATTCAGCTGCCACTTAGGGAACCGTTTAAGAAAATCCCCACCGAAAAACACGGCTGATTGACTAGCAAAGAGACAAACAAAGCATCATTTATCAGCGAAAACCTCAAGGCTCCACTTCAGTTTCTGTCCATAAAGCGTCCTGTTGAGGACGAGGTTTACTGGTACATTCATTTAGTGAGGCCGTTAAATAGAATTAGAGACAAAAACATCAAAACTCGGCCCACACAACACCCAGAATAGCCCTAATAGACATATTATGCAAAACCAAGTTTTTAATCATTTGATTATGTACATTTGGGACTGTGGAGGGCCTATCAGCAGGCAAAGTGTGAAAAGAAAAGACTCAGTCATGTTTTTGTGGGCCGCCTCAGTCTGAATCCAGGAGATAAATCAGGAGGTTTCAGGAGTGGGTAGTTTCTGACGTCATTAGCTCTAGCTCATTATAATATTCCAGCCTTTCACCTGCATGCTGCCCCCCACCTCCAGGTAGCGTGAGCGTTAGCATGGTAGCGTTAGCATGGTAGCGTTAGCATGGTAGCGTTAGCATGGTAGCGTTAGCGTGCCGACGTGGGCACACCTCCCTGAAGAAGTGGGCGGATTGCCTGTGTCTCATTTGCATTTAAAGAGACAGGCACTCCAAAGCGAGCGCTCTGAACGGGGCTGTTTTGGGTTAGGGTTAGGGTTAGGGTTAGGGTTAGGCAGGGGGACTGAACTGCTATTGGGCTTCATCCTAATGGGATTTTGACCAAAGCTTGTCACAGACATCACATTAGGACACCAGGGAACTAGTTTAACTTGTTGAAATATGGTATAATATGTCTCCTTTAACTGATGGTGCTTAACAGAGACCAGAGCGTGTTTTATCCACTCAGGACAGACTTCCTGAGCCGTGCTGCCCCCCGGTGGCCAGAGGCCCACATTACATCAGCACCTAAACCCAGTATGACGGCCTCCTGTCTGTTTATAGAAGTTTCTGTCCCAATATTTCTCATTTTTTCCTAATTCGATGGTAGAATATGGTGACAGAAAATTTTCTGAATTGCCAAAACATATATTTTTTAACCCTTTAAAGCCTGATCCCAGAAAAAATAGAGAGAAAAATAGAAATAGAGAGAGAAACGTATTATTTTTTCAGTGTGAAGTCTTTATGTGCCTTTAAAAAATTACATTTTTGAATATTCATGATTTATTTCCGTGAGATAAGTTAACATTTTTAAAATATGATTTATTTCTATTTTATTTCAATTTATTTATTTGACCACTGACTGATGCAAAAGGTCTCAGATGCAAAAGGTTCTTTGAGAAAAAGGGAATAAATAAAGCCAAACCAGCAGGGCTGCATTCCATTCCACCTTAAATTATCATCTGTTTTCCCCCATGTTTACCCTCCTGTTTTTCCCCCT